CACCGCATTCTGAGGTGGAAAACCTGCTGAGCACATGCCGGTCCCTCTCAGTGTGCCTCAAGTTTGAATTCGTTTCAGCAAGGCGGCTCAGCGTCAAGAGACCCACCTTCTTCCAAATGTGGGAGATCTTGTCCAAGGACCTCTCTTTGTTTGAAAGATTTGCTATTTTTTTCCTTTCAAATGTGTGAGCTCGAATTTTTGGTTTTGTAGGTTGGGGGTTGGATTATGGCTTTTAGTGTCTTTAATACTGTATTTGACGCCTAAAAACAGGTTTTTGTTTTCTTTTACAGGGTATTTGTTTGCTTTTTCGAGACAGGGTTTCTCTGTGTAGCTTTGGAGCCTGTCCTGGAACTACCTATTGAACACCAAGCTGTTCTTGAATTCACAGAGATCTGCCTGCCTCTGCCTCCCGAGTGTTGGGATTAAAGGTGTGTACGGGCTGTTTTTTCTTTTAAATTACAGTTATTTATTTATATTATTTCTTGGTGTGTGTTGGTGTGCACACACCACAATTTAGAAGTCAGATGACAACTTGGTAATACTAAGCAAGTTGTACTTCTATATTTAGGAATATATATACATTCACATAAACATATCTGTATAGAATGAAAAGGAGGCCATGTATTTGAAAGAGAACAAGGAAGGATATATAGGAGGGTATGTAGGGAGAAAAGGTAAGAGGGAAATGGTGTAATTATAATCTCAAAAAATCAATAATTTAATCAGGCAGTGGTGGGTGCATGCTTTTAATCCCAGCACTGAGGAGGCAGAGGCAAGCAGATCTCTGATTTCAAGGCTAGCCTGGTCTACAGAGTGCCAGGAGAGCCAGAGCTGCTATACAGAGAAACCCTGTCCCAGAACAAACAAATAAGTAAATACAAATTTACGAGATACAGTTTCTCTGTGTAGCCCTGGCTATCCTGAAACTCACTATGTAGACCAGGCTGGCTTCAAACTCAGTGATCCACCTGCCTATGTTTCAGGAGTGCTGGGATTAAAGGCATGTGCCACCACTGCACAGCTGAAAAAAAATCTTAAAAAAGTTGGAAGGCACTGGAGGAATGGCTCAGATAACTAACCCAAATTGGTGAGCTTTAGGTTCAATGAGAAATTGACCTCTGGCCTCTAAACCCCAAGCATGCATGCATTCATATAAACACAAACAACACAGAGAGAAAAAAAAGAAGTAAACCTATATGTTTGTAAGGCATATCCAACTATGGTATCAAAGTATGGATAAATGACTTTTAAAATATCAGTATGCATGAGTCTCCTTTGTTTCTTTAAATTTGGTATTGCCTTATTTGTCAAGTTTCTTAGCCTGCAGATTAGTGCCTGCTTTATATCAAGTAAATAAAGGAAGAAAAATGTGTTCTTCCCTCTGATGTTGACCATGTATAATTAAGGTACAGTAAAAATAGTGAAATTTTTTATCTGTCATACTAAATCTTGCATTTCTTGACAATAGACTAAATGTAATAAGTGGTAGAAGAAAAACATTGAATAAAAAATTACAAAACTGAATTATATTTTAACTTAGAAAATCCTACTTAATATTTTGGGGCATAGATTAAAAATAAAGGGCGTCAGTTCATAATATTGGTTACATTTGAGAGTATGGAAAGATTTTATGTTTCAGGGGCATAGGAGAACTATCAAATATTTAAAAACTATTACGCTAAGAAATAATTTGTGGGCTCACATTGTTACTCAGCAGCAACACTTATCTCTAGCATGCATAGGCTCTGTGTTTAATTCCCAACAGTGCAAAAAAATTGTCATGCATGCATAGGAGGCGAAATTAAAAATTTTGGAAAATGCTATCAGTTTGTTAGGGTTTTCATTTGCATGCCAATCCCAAATTAGTGTTTCAAGTACTGCTATTCAAGGCTATTCTAAAGATGGTAACTCAAGGATTCCATTTCTGCCTCCTGAGTGCTGGGATTACAGGTGGCTTCCACATAGGCTCACCTTTTTCCCTATCCTTAAAATATTTATATTTTTATGTATGGATGTTTATCTGCATGTTATATCTGCATACCAAGCACATGCATACCTGTTGCCCTTGGGATCCTGTGAACTACAGTTACAGATGGTTGTGAGCCCATGTGGGTGCTTAGAATTGAGTCCAAGACCTGGAAGAGCAATGTTTTTTTTGTTGTTTTGTTTTTTGTTGTTTTGAGACAGGTCCTTAGCTAACCTGAAACTCATTGTGTAGGTCAGGTTTGCCTTGAACTCAAAAAGATATGCCTGCCCCTGCCTGCTGAGTGCTGGGACTAAAGGTGTATACTACCATGCCTAGCTCATAACCATATTTTAAGATTGTGACACTAAGCTAGCATGATAGCACACATACTTGGAATCCTAGCACTCAGACTGAGACAGGGCAGTTGTGAGGTTTGGGTCAGTCTTAGGCTATATAATGAGTTCCAAGACAGGTTGTCCCAAATTACATAGAAAATCCCTATCACAGAAACAAAACAACAAAAACAGCAAGCCCAAAAGAGTGAGGCACTAAAATGTTTGTTATGAGCTGTGTAATTATTCAGAACTGGTAGTACTTGCAATAGATCCTTTGTTTATTCTCCCTTTCTTGGTTTTTTTGAGTGTTTATTCTCTTGATATGAGATTGTTTTCTCATTTATTCTTGCTATGATGTATGATACTTGGTTATTCAGTTATTCAGTAGTTTCCCTTAGGATTATTAAAGTATCTTTAATTAGCATACTTCCTATTAGAATTAAAGTATTTTTCCTTTTGAAAATAAGGCTTATTTCTCTTCTTTTGGAAATTAGATAATTCAAAAATGGCAGAACTTTTCATGGAATGTGAAGAAGAAGAGTTGGAACCATGGCAGCAGAAAGTAGCAGAAATTGAAAATAAAGATGACGATGATGAGTTGATCTTTGTTGGAGAAATATCAAGTTCCAAACCAGCCATTTCAAGTAAGCATTTACTTTTTTGAGTGAGAAAAACCTGTGACTATTTTTTTCAGTACTTGATGTATTTGTTCTGTTCAAAGCTTAGGAGAAAAGCAAGATAGTTCTAGGGAAATGCTTTAACAGTTAATGCACTTGCCGTGCAAGCCACAAGCACAAGTTGTGGCTGGGCTTTGGCCCCACCTCGCCAACAGTACTTTATTCATCAACCAATAAGACAAACACATACACAGAAGGACTTCCCCCAGCATCTCCTCTTTTCTGACTAAATAAAAAGGGTTTTACATAGTAAAATTAACATAGTAAAATATATAACAAAACAGTTATCAAATAAGAACTATAGTTACAATATTTAGTTCATTAACATTTAGCATGATTTTAAAGAAAATATTCTATTATCTATCCTATGTTTGTGAGTCTAAAGTCTTACATGTAACTTATCTTTTATCCTAACTATGGAAAACCATAAGTATCAGTCTTCAACGCCAACAAAGACCAGAGAAGGATAATATATAAACTCTAGAACTGACAGAGACACTTCATCTTTAGTCTACAGGCCACAATGTATCTGGCAGACTTCTCAGCAAAGCAGGAAATTCTAAACTGCCCACCTGCATTGGCAATTTGTCATCTTTTTTCTGTATCCTGTAGAATGTCTGGCAGACTCTTTCATGAAGCAGGGAATTCTGAACTGTCCTGCATTGTCAGTTTTGTACTCCATGAAGCAGGAAACCTTTAGGCATTTTCCTGTGGGTCCTGCATGTCCAGTTTATAAAGCAACAGTTAAATAGTTCAGGCAAGAGTAGCTTCTTGCCCAAACGCCATGTCAAAGGCAAACTCTATAATGAGTTTCTTGGATGCCCATCTTCCTCTCAGATATAATTGGTGTGCCAGGAGCAGTTATGTCTCACTGTCAAGAAAAATCCTAAACCATTTAAATGCCATATATTTCATAGGTCTTTGAATGGTATGAAGAATATCTATATATCTAGAAATCCTAACTAGTATCAACAAATGAAGATCCATTCCAATACAAAGTATCAACAAATGAGGATCCATTCAATACAAAGTATCATTTCCATATCATATTCCTCCTTTTTCCTTTTAAAAGTGATTGACTGTGACCACTACCATTTCTAACTGACCAAATTTAAATGAAAACAAATATTCAGATCACCTGGGCCACTGCTTCACGGGGTCCTGCCCCATGAAACCATACCAGTCTGGAAGGAATCCACAACTCTTCACCTTCCATGGAAAAAAAGCAGAAATTTCCCTCTTAACCTGTACTTTAACAACTGTTGCTCTTTCCCCAGCAATTAAACAATTCAAAGACAACACAATAGCATTCTTTTGTTAACAATCACTCATTTACGACCATACTTCATACACACGTGTGGCCACACCATACATACAGAACATACATACATCTTTTGAACAAAAGCCACAAAGGAGAGGAGATGTGGGGGTGGGATCGCCATCCTTACCATAGCTTGGCATCTTGGGAGGGTCTTGAGGACTGCAGCATCTTTGTCCATTCCTGTATGGTCTTCTTTTTTTTATCCACTTGGACATATTCTCCTTTCTCATCTGATGTGACAGATGATGTGGATGGCTTTTGATGAGGGCTCTGGGAGACCGGCTGAAAGTCCAGGGCTATGTAATTCACATTGCCAGTTCTCTTTTTTGGAGCCGAGCTGTTAATGCCACTGGATACAGGGGATGAAGACATTGGGTTCTGCATAGGGATATAGTTCTCCTCACTGTTTCTGGAGTCTGTGTTGGAGATGGAACAGCAGTACTGGGAGGAGCTGGAGTTAAAGGTGTGGTTGACCGTGGACAAAGACTTGGTGACAGGTGTCTTGAAAGGGAGCTCATTGATACTGGCTTTGCTTTTCAGCCAGGCTTGAGGTGAATATTGACCCGGGGGTGGCTGGATCTTGCTTCCTCGCTTGTCAAAGTGATGGGGCATTGTGCTCATGAGGATGTCAGAAACTGAGTTTGTGGGCACATAGTTGTCATCAGAGCTAGCAGTGTCTGATTGACCCATGACAGTCTTTTCTAGAGATTTAACAGACCAGCAGGCAGCTTCTTCACCTCGTGTTGGATACTTGTAGTCACTGACTGGAGGTCTGTGTTGAGGGCTGCCCCACAGAGGTGTCTTGTGGTGCTGTGGTGGGGGAGCTACGGCTGACTCCACTAGGAGGTCTCCAAATTCCATACACAGGATGTTGCTGGGTGCCTTCAAGGTATACACATCCTCACTATCTGCTGCAGACCCTGCTCTGAGCAGGGGCTGAGTGAAGCTGCTGAATTCAGCTGGAGAAGAGCAGAGATTATGACTGACTGAAGAAAGGCTTCTCAGGAAATCAGTGCTCTTTAGTATGACTGAAGCCGCAGATCTGGCAGATGCTCTGGACCCACCTATTCCTGTCAGCATCTGTCTCAGGCACCAGGTAGAAGGTGTGCTCATTGGTAATGATATAAACCACTTTTGGAGCTCTTGTTTGTTGAAGGTCAGGGTTCTTCCAAGCATAGCACCCCAACTTTTTCTCAGGAGGCAATTTCTCCAGCCAGCCTGTGCACACCACATCGTTGCTGGCTGACTAGAGCCCGCAGCAGGCTCAAGTGGACAAAAGCACGGGCTGCTGGGTCAGCAGGCTGCTGGTGGGTAGCTCTGGAGGAGGGATTCCTCAGTGGCGGATTTATTGCATTTTTTAAAATAATTTTCTTAACATTATTGCTTAATCCAAAGTAAAAATTAAATCTTACCAGTACCTTGTCTCTTTAAACTTTATCTGTGTGATTGACCGTAATCTCTATTACAATCCAACTCTCTTAGGAGTTGAGGCACCCCTTTTCCAGTGCCTTTGCAGTCCAACTCTCTTAGGAGTTGAGGTACCTATTTTCTAGTACCTTTTGCAACCCACCCTCACAACTCCTTACTTGCTTTCCAGCCTTCTGAGGGTGATCTCTCAGGGTCCCCTTTCTTTCCCGGTCTCGGTAGGACCTCCACTTGTGGCTGCTCTTAGCCACTAAGTCCAGAGTATTGGGCGAAAGCCTGGAGATTTGGATGGACCACAAGACTCCTGGTCCTGTTCTGAGAGAATGTCTCTCACCTTTATTGTGGAGCAGCCTTATATACAAACTTACAAAAACCCCAGGTCAAAGGGTTCACAACAGGATATTGATCCCAGTGGGGTGAGGTCAGGAAAACAGGAGGTACCTGTGGTTATGCTGGAAAACAACTCTTAGAGACCCCATGGGGGCTGGGTTCCAACAACAAGTACTGGGATTTGGATCCCCAGAAGCCATTTAAATGCCAACTGGGACTGGGAGCCTTTGTATAATCCCAACTCTTTGAAAGCAGAGACAGGGGGATTACTAAAGGGAAGTGAATGGATAGACTCCACACCTTATTGGCCAGCTCTAGGTTCAATTCTTTGCCTCCGTGAATAGACTGGAGAGGGATTGATAAAGGCCCCAGCATCGTGATGCCTTGGGCCTCACACATGCATATATACCCACACAGGTGTAAACACGCATGTGTACAACATACACACACACACACACACACACACACACACACACACACACACACTAAATATGAAACAAGTCTTAGCAAGGTAAAGGTCAGTAAGAACTTAAGATGTTCTTACACATAAAATATCATGTGTAAGAAAAAGGGAAATAATTAAATTACTAAGGATTAAGATTGCCTGACAGCATTATAGGCCTTATATGATAAAGATCCTACTTTTCAAATGTTTTACTATAAGGCTGCTGGGCATCAATCTTAGGTCATCAAGCACCTATACTCAGTTAGACATCTCACCAGCCCACCCCCCTTGTTTGTTTGTATGTAGGGCTTCCTTTCATTGAAAATGGATATTTTTCTCACATAGTATATAATCCTGATTATGTTTCCCCCTCTCTACTCTTCCCAACCTCCCCTTCCATTCAGATCCACCCCCCTTTCTGTCTTTCATTAGAAAACAAATAGGCTTCTAAATGATAATAATAAAGTAAGATTTTTTTAAAAAACTCTTAACACATCATACATAATAGGACAACAAACAAACAGAAGGAAACAGATAATAGATGTAGAAACCCACTCATTCATACACTTAAGCATCCCATAAAAACACTAAAGTGGAAGCCATAATAATATATGCAAAAGGACCTATAGGATAAAAATAGAGAAGAAAAAAATATAAACATACTAGATAAAATAAAATGAAAATTAAAAATAAGATAAAATTTTAAAAAGAAAGAGCCCTGACAGGACATTATGAAATAAGGAACCTCCAAATGTGTGTAGAATTCATTTTCAGTGCTTGCAGCCTAATCTTAATAGTAGTTAGTTTCCCCAGTGAGACTCCATTAGAGAAAATTAAATTTTCATTTGCAAGTGGTTATCAAATTGGAAAATGTTTCTAGATTAGTGGTGGGAACATGTGCCCACTTCTCCTTAAAGCTCTAGGACTCTTTCTGGTGCAGACCTGTGCAGATCCTGTACATGCTGCCTTAATCTGTGAATTCATATGTGCATCAATCTTGTTGATTTAGAGGACTTTGTTTCCTTGGTGCCCTCCATCCCCATTGGTTCTTAAACTCCTTCTGCCTCCTCTTCTCAAGGGTTCCCTCAGTCCTGAGGAGAGATATTTGATGGACACATACTGTTTAGGGCTAAATGTTCCAAGGTCTTTCTTTCTCTACTTGATGTCTAGCTGTGAGTCTCTGTATTTGTTCCTATTTGCTGCAGGAGGAAGCATCTCTCATGATAGCTGAACAAGGCACTGATCTATGAGTATAGCAGAATGTCATTATGAGTAATTTTATTCCTATACTTTGTTTGTTTTAGAACACTAGTATTTGGTTTTACCCTGGGTCCCTGGGCTATCTAGACTAAGATTCTTTGTCACCCAAGCAGTGTCAGATATGGGTTCCATCTTAAATCATATCAGGTATTGTTTGGTTACTCCCACGAGCTTTGCCACCACTAC